TGGGCGGCCGCGCGGAGTGGCTGCTGCTTCCCAGGCTCACCGGTGGTGGAGGGTATTCGAAGCGGCTGCGCTGTTCCACCGCGGCGGCGGCGGCGGCGGCAGCAGCAGCGGCTGCGCTCAGACCATAGCGCTCCAGGCCGGACGGGGCCGCCAGCACCGCAGGCTTGCTAGAACCATCGACGTGGTTGAGCTGTTGCTGCTGCTGTTGCTGCTGTTGTGCGGCGGCCGCTGCCGCCGCCGCCGCCGCCGCCTCCTTAGCCGACAGGGCCACCGTCTTGACCCCGACGGGCGGCGGCGGCCCGGGGGAGCGGCCGTCCTGGAAGCAGCCGTGCGCCCGCTTCAGCTGACGCGCGGTCTCGATCACAAACTCGATGCGATCCGCGCCCTCGTAGTTGACGCAACCGCGGCATACGGGTTCCGAGAAGTCCCAGATCATGGCCCAGGGCATGCGGGGCAGGTCGCACAGGTAGCAAGATTGTCTCCGGGACGAGGACACCTGCGCCGCCGACATGATGCCGGCCCTCGGGAAGGTAGGCCCCCGCCCCGGCTGTCTCCGCGGCGCTTTCTCCTCCCGGAGGGCTGGCAGGCTGGGGAGGGAGTACGGCTGCGGGGGAAGGAGGGGGGGCGAGAAAGTTCTGCCCCAGGGGCTGGAGGAAGCGCGAGTCTCCACCGCCCGCGCAGCGCCTCGCTGCGGGGGCTCCACCGCCCGGGCTGCGGACGAGTTCAGCCCGCTCCTCGCCCCCACCTCCTACTGCGGCTGTTTCGTCGGGAGGGGAGCTCAGGCGCCTTCTTCCTGGTGTCGCAGACCCGGGCTGGAAGCTCCGGGCCCGGGGGGAGGGGGCGAGGGTGCCGGGTGCTGGCCGCCGTTGGTTCTTGGCCCCCTCCCCGGAGTGGCTGGTGCCTGGAAGCTCGAAAGGGGTTGTCTCTTCCTCTCCCCTGGGGGGGACCCCCTACGACCTGCGTCCTCTCCCCGTCAGGCTCTCTGGGACGAAGGGTAGAGGGTTCAGTGCCACCCGGTGCCCGAGTCCAATCTTGCTGAAGTCGCTGCTTCCCCGGAGGACCGGGGGAGGGGTTGGCAGCCGAGAGAGGAGCTTCTCCCCTCGCAGCGTCGGCCGTTCCGCTGGCGGCAGCTGGGTTTGCACGGCCGGAGGGAGCCGCCGCGGCCACTGCTTCCAGGACGCACGAGAGCAGAGGAGAGGAGCGCACGCACGCAGGCTCCCGCCGCCCCCAGGCCTGGCGGGCGCCCGGGCCCCCGCGGCTGGCGGCGCTCACGTTGGCTGCAGGGCGCTCGCGCGGCGCCTCGACCCGGGTCGCATCCCTTCCCGCTCGCACTCGCCCGGAATGTGGGGTTGTGATTGTTACTCTACGTTCCGGAGGCGCGGCTCGGCGCTCCCGCTCGCGCTGCGGCTCGCGCTGTCCCGGGCTCGGCCGCGCGGGATGCCGCCCAGGCGGAGCGCTGACGTCACCGCCATGCTCTGCACCAGTTCTCCCCCCTCCCCTTTACACTTCCTCTGTGGAGCCCACTTGTTGCTCGGGAAAAGCGCATGCGCGGCAGGGCGCCCAGATTCCTCCCAGTCGGCCCCTCCTCCGCGCCTCCGCCCTCCCCTCCCCCCTCGCTGTGTGTGTACAACAGCTGAGGCCCAGCGAGCTAATGCTGGAAGACCAGGGTTGGGGGTGGAAATTAAACAGACTATGACCTTTCCTTTCTCCGCCCGGCTTTCCCAAGTTAAAACGCGTTTGAAAACCACAAGCATCGTTTCCGATCCCGCTCCCCACCCCACTCCGAGCAGTGAATTTAAATGTCCTGTTTCAAGATTTTCGCTGTGAATTTCATAAGGGTGTTACCCATTCCATCTGCAATCAAACCTCTCCCCCCCCCCAGGTATGAACGTCACATTCATTGCTACCGCTGATGCCGAGGCACCTGCAAAATTAGCTGTTTTCCAGTCTTTCAGAAACTGCCTTTTCGCTTTGTTTTTGTGCCCTGGTCTCGGAACCTGAGCTTCAGCGACGGAGCTAAATGAATTCAGGGTGAGATACCCCTCCCCCAAGCCGTACTCTAAAAATTTTGGCTGAATGTCTAAAGAAGCTACGAGCACCCGGAGGCCTTTAAGGAAAACAGTCTACTGGCTGCGCACAGCTGCATTTGGGGGCAGGGAGGGGGAGGTGCTGGAGAGACCAAACAGGTGAGTGGTTTCTTCGGGATTGATAAAAGAAGGTGGGGTCAGCATTTAATAATGTTGATATATCTTTGTAAAGCACAGCCACAGTTTTCAAAGTTCTTTCTTGTGTGCTGTGATTTCATACCATAGTGCCCCAGATGGCTGAGCACGGCCCTGCTTTCTTTTCCGTTACAAGATCACCTCTCGTCGTTAGTGTTTATTGCAGAACAGATATGTTGGTCAAAGGGCTAGTTGGGGCATTTCAACTGATTCTTCCAAGTATTGGGCCTGCTTTTTTTTTTTTTTTCCATGAAGATTGAGATAATCCTGGGCGAGGCTTGAGAGGGGTGGCAGTATAATGGAATTTCAGGTTCTGGAGTCTGGCACACTAGGTTGGAATTTCCTCTCTGTCACTTACTGGCTTTGTGACCTTGAGCTAGTTACTTACCCTAACATAACCTCTGTTTTCCACCTGTAAAATGGGATCAGAGCTCCCAACTTATTAGCACTGTTTGAGATTTCATTTTGTGTCTTGTTGTAACAGGAGGCAACTCACTGAGACTTGCTGTGGGCCAGGCACTGCTAGGTGGTTTACTTGCATCATCATTAAACTCAGTATTATCTACAAGCTAGATTCTATTATTAACTCTGATTTACAAGCTCAGAAAACAAGGAGGTTAAATAACTTGCCCAGGGTCACACAGCCATTAGAGACAGAACTGGGATCTGAATCTAGTAAGTCTGCTTTGAATGGTGCCTTGACAAGCTTAAGTTCTCAGAGGTGGTTTGGGGTGCTCAAATTTTCCATCAGCGCCCCCCCATTTGTTACAATACATACAGTCTCACGTAAAGTGCTATGCAATTACATCTTCATAACCAACCCCCATGCTCCCCTTCCAAATAGATTGTGCCATTGAATTTTTCCGTATACAGAAGTTGTGGATCTGCCACTGCCACAGACTGTAGTATAAATGCGCCGTACAGTGTGTAGAACACAGTGTCAGGTTCACAGGAAGCCATCGGTAAGGGTTGGTTATTATTAGTGTTGATATTAATGTTGATACTATTGCTGGTTAACGTGTGGAAGTACTTTGCAAGTTGCATAGAATGTAAGGATCCCTACTCATCACTATTATTACTACTAATTATAATAAAGTTCAGTTGAAGCAACAAGAAGTATTTTATTTATTTATTTAGTTGCACCGTTTCTATATTTGCAGCATGCGGGCTCCATAGTTGTGGCATGCAAACTCCCAGTTGCAGCATGCATGTGGGATCTAGGTCCCAGACCGGGGATCGAACCCAGGCCCCCTGCATTAGGAGTGTGGAGTCTTCTCCACTGCACCACCAGGGAAGTAAGTCCCAAGAAGTATTTATTTTTATTTTGACACTTGACCTTCAGAACCTGTTTTCCCGCATCCAGCCCTCCCCAGCACCCCTATTTCCCACTCATTCTGGGGCCCTAGGTGCAAAAGAAGGTGAGTTTTTAAGGATAGGGAGAAAGGGGGAAGGAAGAGCCCTAGGGAGCCCCTCTTTCATCTCAAAGCAGCCAGATTTCAGTTTTTGCAAAACAGTGAGCTCACTGTGCACTCCCCAACAATAATAAACTTTATCTGGCTGGCTGGCTCCCGGCAGTGATTCCTCTGTAAAGAGCTGCTGGGAGCATTGCCTCACCCTCCCAGACGTCAACCCTCCCCACACCACAGCTACCCTGGAGTGAGTCAAAACATAGGGCTAGGAAATGGAGTGACATTCCCACCAGCCTGGGGCTTGAGGCTGCTTAGCTTTGGCTTGGCTGGTTAATGTTTCTTTATATTAATATTTATTCAGTCTGTCCCTTTATTAAACCAGAAATACTGAAGAAAGCAACTTAGCCCCAACCCTCTAGCCAGGCTGCTAGAGAAAGCAAGTCGGATTCTGTGTCATAGTGTTATATTTGGTATGCACACACATATGTCTCCATCTCCTTGTCTGTCTCTTGTCTTTGCTGTTACTAAAGGAGATATATATATATATATATATATATATACACACACACACACACACACACACACACACATACATACTCGGTGTCTTCAGACACACAGTTAGAAATAAACATGCATTTAAACAAAGTTCCATTACAGTCTCATAATCCTTTAATTTAAAAGGCATAGCTCTCTGGATATCCTTCCCCCTCAAAGAATCACCATCACTTGTGGTGATAAATTTCTCCTTAACTTCTTGTCTGAGATGGCCCCGTTTGGGGATGTGTCAGGGATTGTGAGAGAGGCAAGAACACCAATATTTGGGAGATAAATTTCCCTTGGAGGATTCCATGTGACAATGCTGCGTCCACAATGGGAAGTAACTGAGCAAGGTAGGGGGGAGGGGGGCTTCAACCTAAGACACCAGGTGGAGAGACCCACAGATGGGACTGAACGCTGGCGGTGGGGTCTGGGGACTGGCAGAGTCAGGGATCAATCTGGCGCAGGGGGAATGCCTGCAATCTTCCCGAAGTTCCTTTCAACAGTTGCTCTCTCCACCCCCCACTCAGCTTGCCATCTGAGCTGGCATTCTCGGAGGACCCAGCTTTAAACTGGAGCAAAAGGTCAGCTCTCCACTTGGCCTTTCCGGAGGCCACAGCCCAGCGTTAGGGGTGAGAAGGTTGCAGCGGGCTCACGCACCTCGAAGCTCCCTGCAGTCTCCCTCCCGTCCTCCTCCCTCCCCGCCCCCGCCGGTTGGTGGCAGAGATGTGTGTGTGTGGGGGAGGCGTACTGCCCTGGCATCCTGCAGCCAGCTGGCTCGGCCTTCGAGGAGGCCAGGCTTGAACCTCGCGTCACCCCACTGCAACGTGTGGGCCAAGCTCTCAGGCAGGAGAAAGGCCTTTTTTGGTAACGCTCAAGCCCGCAGTAAGCAGGACCCGGTTCTTCGGCCCGCTAGAGACGCCTCGAAGTAGATGAAAACAAACGTGTGGGCTGGGCCCTCCTCTGGCCTCTCCCAGGGCCCCCATCCCCACGCCAGGAAACCCCCGGGCGCTGTGGGCGTGGAGGAATCAAGTCAGCACTGTGATTTACACATTTACTCCCAGGCCGCTTCCGTGGCGGAAGTATTTGCCTTTTCCTAAAGGATTAATTCTGGTATTTAAAAAAAAAAAAAAAAAGGATTAATTTAGGCCAGGGCATACGGTTACGCAAGAGCCACTAGATCGTGAAATCCCAGGAACAACGTGATTCGCTAAGAACCCCCGGGGAGGGGAGGCTGCGCCGCCCGCCAGGACCTGCCCAGCCTGGGGCGCGCGGGCAGCCGGGCGCTCCGTGCAAAATTGGGTGGAAGGGAAAGGAGGACGTAGCGGTTGGTGCTGGCACAG